AACAAGGACAGAATAGTGTCCGTCATAATATTTATTAAAAGAAAAATAAATAAAAGTCCGCGAGAGAGAAGCCCGACCTGAACCTGTTTTACTTCCGCATTCCTGTCGTTTTGGTCCGGAGCAGAAATTGCACGTGTGACCGCAAGTGGAGCTGCTTCGACGCTGCGCCGGAGTTGTCACGCTCAGTGGCTTTGCACGTGTGACCGCTCCACAAAATTTGCTCCGGTGTAAAATACATCGCAACAAAATATTTCGGTGCAGCGTCGGACCAAATGTGTGCCGTGTGAACAGGGCTAGAGATCCGCTTCCGCCGATATTGAAGACAATTTTCCTGTGTGCCGAGTCATTTCTTTAACTTTGTCCGAGAAAATCTCTGACAAGCTGCTTTTTGTTCTTTTTTTTTTTCAACAAAAAGGCAAGATGAATGCCATATCACTATTGGTCTGATCCAGAGTCCACCTTACTGCAGATGTTACAGCAATTCGTTTGTCAATCTTATGTGCCTATTCCTCCTCATTCATGAACAGGACCCCAAGATACTTGAACTCCTTCACTGGGGGCAAGATGTCATTCCTTACCCAGAGAGTGTACTCGACTCTTTTCGGACTGAGAAACATGGTCTCAAATTTAGAGGTGCTGATTTTCATCTTAACTGCTTGACACTCGGCTGCAAAATGATACAGCGTGTTGAAGGTCACATCTTGATGAAGCTAACAGGGAAGTCTCAGCGCGGTGCAAACCTCACCAGAAAGAAATCTGACTTTCTGTCACAAATGTGGACCAAACTCGGGTGACACTGCACTCAACAACCTGTACTCGGTGTTTTAGTACGCCATCTTTCTGTAGCTCCCCCAAAGGTACCCCATAGTCCCAGAGCATCCCACACAGATTCCCCACGAAGGACATAGTCAAAACCCCTCTTGAATTCCACAAATCACATGTAGACTGATTGGGTACAGTTCCGTGCACCATCCAGGATCCTGCCGTAGTGTAGACCTCGTACACTCTTACCCGGCCAGGATGAAAACCACACTTGTCCCCCTGAATCTGAGGTCCGACATCCCAATAGATACTCCTCTCCCAAACTCCTGAATTGACCTCATCACAGAGACTCAAGTGTGATCCACCTGTGGTTGAAACATCCTCCTTTTTAAAAAAAAAAGTGACCATAACCCTGCTCTGCCAATCCAGAGCAAGGTTGATACAAAGTAGTTAACAAACATGAGTGAAATCACAAAAACTATTATTGAGAAAAAAAGGCTTTGTTCATGAAATAAAAAAAAAAAGTTTTTCAAAAGAAATGAAAAGTAACTGAAACTACATTTTACGCTGATAAAACTAAAGCGAACTCAAAAACTATAACAGAGCATAAATGTCAATTTTCATCTTTGTCAATTAATTTCATACATATGCTTTCGAGGTTTATGATAAATGTATGTAAATTAATGTACGGCCCACTATCATTTGGGAATTGTACTTTACGTTGGTGTATTACACAATGCACAACACTTTTTTTTTTTTATCTTGCACTCCAAAAATACTGCTGTTAAAGGGCTTTATGGTGCGTCCAATTTGGGTGCGTAGGTGCCCAAATGCCACGATGTGGCGACTGAAAAGAATCTCCTCAGTTTCTAAAAAACATTTATCATAAAATATATAAATGTGGGTGTGGGGGGGAATTTGTTGTAGACACACACCACTGGCTGGGTCCTATTCACTTGAATGAGCGTTGCCACTGCAGCCTCGGCGGTCACCCTGCCCAACAGTCGTGGTCCCTGCCTCAAGGGTGGCGGCTTCGGGTGGCCGCAAGAGAGTGATGACGATCCATGCCTTGTCCTTTTTAACTAACTGTACTTGTTACCTTTTCTGCTGGATACTCTAATCGTGTATGGTGTCCAATAATGAGCAGATGAGTCAGGATCAGTAGTTCAGACAATGGATTGATGGATCGATCACAAATGCTCTGAAACTGCACTGTGTCCGATTGTACTTGTTGGAAAACAGCCACGGCTTGTTGAAGTGCAGCTATGATGAGGGATGTTTAGAATCATTTTGTTTTCAATTTGGCCCTTGAAAACGTCTTCGCATTAAAATGACCATAAGGACTGACATGTAGGGGTCTTGCATTTGTGTGGCGTGTGCAGAATTGACATGTCACTGCTCAGTAAATAATTTGGAGTGATTTATTCTTTGAAGCATTAATATTATATACATATATATGTGTGTGTGTGTGTGTGTGTGTGTGTATGTATATATATATATATATATATATATATATCTGGAGCCTATCCCAGCTGTCTTCGGGCGTTAGGCGGGGGACACCCTGAACTGATTGCCAGCCAATCGCAGGGCACATCGAGACGAACAACA